TTGCAAAAAGTGTGTATTCAGAAAATTCCACAGTTTTGCCCTGCTCTGTGAAACTTTTGCATTCTGAAAAGTGAAGAGACTCAGCCCCGGTGCCACCCACACCCCCCCCTCCCCGGGTGCTTCCATGCAGCTCCCCGATTATACATAGGTACACTGTATATATGTATATTTGTATATGTGTGTATATTGCATTTAAATAGATGGGTTAAATACAAGGAAACAAGGACAATAAGAAAAATCCCCAAAGGTTACCAAGAAAGAGCATAAACCAAAAAGAATCAGCCAACGGCTTCATGATCAGAAACTTTGAGAATTTTTTTGATTCTGTGATGAGTTTCTCATAGAGATGGTGGATGCTGGGGTACAGAGCGGGGTGGTGCTCCCTTTGTCCATGGCTGTGGGGAGCCTCCAGCTGCCTGTTCCCCACCACTGATGGGGTACAGACTGGGGCTCTAGGTGTCTCCTCACCCATCAGTCAACGTCCCTGGAGAATGCTGTGACACCCTTGGGCTGGTGCCGAGGAAGAAGAGGACAAGAGCATGGTCTGATTTTGTCCTTGTCCATGCTGTAGATGAGAGGAACAGAGGAACTCCTTGCTGAAGGCTGCTCTGGCTCCAAATTATTTACATGAGTTCAAAAGGAAATTTGTGAGAGTGTTGGAAGAGGGGTTGCTGAGGGCTGCGGAAAGCAGACCAGCCCCCTCCTGAGCTGAAAACAGCAGGATGCTGGAGCAGAATTAAGGGGCAAGATCAGCCACCCGCCCGGCAGTTTTGTATCTGCAGACTTGCTGAGAGTGTGCTCTGTCCCACCACCCGGGTCGTTAATGAAGTGGTTAAACAGTACTGGCCCGGGTGTTGCCTCACTAGTCACATCAGCCAGACCCTGTGCCACTCATCGTGACCCTTCGGGCCGGGCAGCTCAGCCTCTTTTCTCTCCTGGGACTCCAGGAGCCCATCCAGGAGGTGAATAGTTTACTGTGGTGGGGAGAAAACTGAGAATCATTTCACGGTGCAGAGCTGCGTGCACAGACAAAATCACCTGGAGCAGCTGAGTTCTTCCAGCGTGGTGCTGTGCCCCGGGGACAGATAAGGGTGTCCTGTAAAACAGGGCAGCCTGTGCCTCATCCCGTGTCGGTGGCACCCAGCCTGGCCGCGACACCGTTCTGCAATGAGAAGTGCAGGTATGGCTGTGCCTTGAGAAGCTGCTGAGTTTTGGTCTCCAGGACCTCCTCCAAGGTTGATGTGTGCCCCATGTGTGCTCCTGCAATCTGTTTTTATCTGAGACCCCTTCCACCAGCTGCAGCAACTGTGTTTTTTTGCGGTTGTCAGGATTTGTCCCTGACTTAGCCCACACCACCTGGGAACAGCAGGAGGCTGAGCTCAGGCACCGAGCTGCTGCAGCCGATCAAGCTGTGGGTGTCAGACGAGCACGGTCACCCCTCAGAGGCTGCCTTAGAAGCAGCGCAGCTCACACTGAGCAAAGCTGAAGCCAAGCAGAAGTTTCCAGCATTTTCTGGGAGTTAGAGCAGTCTCCCCAGCACTTTCTGCAGCAAAATACCCTGAGAAAGGCTCTGGCTGCTTTGCTTGTCAGGCAGGGTCTTTGTCGGGACTGTGTGAGGAAAAAAACTATTCCCAGATGGCATTTTGTGAATATATTTTTCAGGTTGTTGTTATTGCCATAACGTACCTTGTTGTGCCCTAGCTGAGGGCAGGGGGATGAGAGACATCTAAATTGACAAACTATACTATGAACATAAAAACTACAGAATTTAGACCAAGCAGAAACATGCTCACTTTGGACTTGGCAAGGCAGTTTTTTTACCCTTACCTTCAAAGGCCCCTGGAACTTAAATTTACAGTCTTTATCCTTTCCTGGGACTTCTGTTCTGTGTAAGATAACGTATATTCTTGCAATGGGACAAAGCATTTACCACCACGTCCTTCCTCCACAAACACCACGTGTCTGTGTCTGGGATAGACCCTATCAGGAAACCTTCAGGGCTGCAGATGTTTTCAGCTGTGGCAACTGCTCAGGGCTCAACACAATGGGGTATGGGTCTGCAAATGCTGCTGCAAGTGGTAATAGTGGAAGTTGCTCAAAGATTGAACTGAGTATTTGAAATAGAGCCCCTTTTCCTTTCCTTCTAGTGTCAGTGCAAATATTTCCACTGGCTTCACTGAGGCAGGGCTGAGCCTGAGCTAGGAATCCAAAGCAGGGTATACTGACTTTTCTTTGTGTTTCATCCTTGCCTCTAAATTCTCATTGCTGATTATAATAACATATTGGATAAATAGCGTTCTTTACTTCAAAGCTCAGGAGCTCAGGCAAATCTGCGTGGAGCTCATGTCAGCACTCAAGAACATCAGCCTCAGGGCTGCATTTTTCCCACCCCTGACAGGTTTCCCAGGCTTGCAGACTTCTCACCTCTGCTCTATCTGTTTCACTGTGAGCACTGGCAATGCCTCCCCATCTTTTATGCAATGAGAGGATTGAAGCCCACATACTATTTCTTGGCCATGCTGTCCATCGTTCTAACTGTTTGTCTTCAGGTCGTAGTGCGCTGGACACACTCTGGTTTAAATACAAGGAAATCAGCTGCAGTGCTTTTTTCCCTCAAACCTTCTTCACCCACTCACTGTTGCTCATGGAGATGTCTATGTTGCTGCTGATGACCCTCAGTAGCTTTGTGTCAAACCACAATCCCCTGCAGCACCAATCAATTTTAACCACTTGAAGGATGACCATGACCATGGTGGGACTGGTGTTCACGCCCTTGTTGTCTCAGGAGGGAAAGTGCCTGCACATCCTGGGCTGGATGCTTAAAAGACTGCAGAGAGGCAAAACTGCAAAAACTGGGAGGTAGATTTTTATTTTTTAAAATTATTGGCAATAGCTTCACCCCTTTACTGTGGTCTGTGCGTTGGTAAAGCACAGAGCACTTCTCTGGAGCTCTGTCCTTAGCCTGGGCCACTGGCCCAGCCTGGTGGGGACACCACGGAGGCTGATGTGGAAGATGCTCAGCATGGGGCAGGGCAGGGTGTCGGGGCACAAAAGGGCTTGGGGCTGAGAGGTAGGGAGGAGTGAGGGATGCCTGGGGGGGGTCGGCACCCACGAGAGGAGAAGCTGAGCCTGCTTCACTGTGAGCAGTACCATCTTCGGAGGGTTAGTGACGTTTGATCTTCGGTCAAAATCAGGACTGTTGAGGGCAGTCTAGATGAATCACCCCCTGACCATTGCATTGGGACAGAAAAGCATAAGGGCGAATTTTGCCAAGCACAGGAATTGCTCAGGTGGGTTACAGGAGCAGATCACCATTAGTAACGAGGTGATGTCTCAATAAGAACAATTATTTTCAAGCATGCTCAGGTCGGAATTTCTCCTGAAGCCCACATCACTGTCCCTGATGCCTCAACACACTGAGCAGACCCCGCTTTACCCTTCCAAGGGCCCTGAATGTCAGCACCTCCAGCCCTTTTGCAACCAAGCCAGTTCTGCAGCCCCAGTTGGTGCCTTTAACCCTCAGATCGCTCCTTTCCCCTCACAGCCGCACGGCTCAAAGCACAGTGATGGTGGCTCTTACTTTTCACCCTCGGGTTTCTCACTGATGTGCAGGCTCTTACTGCACACACCAGTTCCTGAGCAAGGCTCATCATTACTAACTTGCAGCAGTGACCTGAATGGGTTTAAATACATGTCGCTTAAATAAAGTTTTAAAACTGAAACCTTTTCCGTTTTCCCCAATGTTGTGTTGCATCTGTATTTCTATTCAGTAGACACCCAGAAAATACTTTTATTGAGAGATCGTACGCTTTATTCTCGAGCACTGCTACCATCCCTCTTTTGCTCTGAAATGTCATCAGGCAAGATCATGAGCTTGCTCCTTCCCAGCCTTGACCATAGTCACCACGCTGCGCCTGTGAGCTTGCAGGGTGCAGCAACACAGGGTGAACAGGGCAGGGGGTGGGTTCCCCGGCTCCCCCTCGCTCCCCTCACACTTCCCTCTGCCTTTTAACCCTATGAGGCCTCGAAATCAGGAGTGCACCCCTGCTCCATACTGTTGCGGTGGGGCTGGGCTCCAGAGCAGGGATGTTCCTCCAGGGCACAGCAGTGAGGACCCAGCTGGGTGCCCCAAACAGCAGTTGGGGGGAAAAGCAGAGGGGGTGACTAGTACATGGAGTAGTCCTGGTGACCAACTCATCCCAGTTGCTTCTAAGTTAGGTAATAAATAGCCCACAGAGCGATGTTAACCTGCTGGTGGTCCTATAGGCTGTATCAATACTGTACCAATAGTTACTAATGTCAATTATTGTCTTTTTTGAGTCTCAAGCCCCTTAAGGGAGGCATCGTCCCCATTGAAGGGGCATTTCCCTTGGCAAAGAGATTCTCTGTGCGAGTGTGTCTTCTTAAGGTGTATAAATACTCGATGGGATGCAGTGAAGACAAAGACACGTTCTTCTCAGTGTTATCCAGTGAAAGGACAAGAGGTAATGGGCACAAACTAGAAAAAAACAGGAAATTCCATTTAAACATGACAATTTTTTTTTTTTTTTTTTTTTTTATGATGCGGTTAATCAAACACTGGCACAGATTTCCCAGGGGGGCTGTACGGTCTCCATCCTTGGAGATGTACAAAACTGGGGTGTACACGGTCCTGGGGAACCTGCTCTGGGTGACCCTGCCTGATCAGGGAGGTTGGACAGGACAATCTCCAGAGGTGCCTGCCCACCTTGGTGACTCTGTGACTCCAGACAGCACGTTTCCCACTGTGACAGCACAGCTCTGGTGGCACTACGGTGCATATCTCATGCTAGTAACATGTTTTCAGTACAGAAAATAAACACACAACATTCTAAGACTGCCACAACACCACCTGGCTCCAGAGGAGGGGCAGACCCGAGTCCTGCTCTGCCCCTTCCCTTCTGCAGCTCCCGAGTGCTGTCACACTCCTTCTGCCTGCACCAGGATGTGATGAACCTGGCCTGTGCCAACACCACCCCCAGCGTGGTGTACGGCCTCACCGCCATCCTGCTGGTCATGGGGCTGGACGCCGTCCTCATCTGCCTCTCCTACGTCCTGATCCTCAAGGCTGTCTTGCGGCTGGCGTCGTGGAAGGAGAGGCTCAAGGTGTTCAGCACCTGCATTGCCCATATCTGCGTGGTCCTGGCCTTCTACGTGCCCCTGATTGGGCTGTCCGTGGTGCACAGGTTTGGGAAGGACCTGGCTCCACTGGTCCATATCACCATGGGGAACATCTACATCCTGGTGCCCGCTGTGCTCAACCCCATCATCTACGGGGTGAGGACCAAACAGATACAGAGGAGGATCCTGATTTCAGTCAAAATTTACAATGACAGAACTGCCCGTTGAACTGCACACAGCTCTGACTCTTCTTGACTTTTCTTAGCTTAGCTTTCAGGATGAGGAATGTGCTCTTCTTCTTTATGCAACAGGGTGCCTTAGCCCTTGGCAGGCGCTCAGTCACTATCACAACACAAATAACAATAATTTATGGCTGCAAATTGTCGAGCAAATATACTTTGTGCAGCAAGCACTAGTACTCTAATAAAAGCCTACACAAGCTCAGCAGGTTGATGGCTTTATGGATGTAGTCAGAGCCCTTCAGGAGTTAACATTTAGCTGGGACTTGTTCCTTTCCTTGTAGTGCATCCCAGTGCATCCCAGAAAGGCAGTGAGACAGAGACACAGTATAAACCACTTTCAGCTAATATTAACTTTTTCACTGTGACTTCTTTTCCTTGCATTTATTCACTGCCTATAATTTAGAAAATTATTTTTTTGAAAGAACAGATAAGTACTTCTGTGGAAGCAGAAATTCCTAGCAAAAATTTTATTAAGAGCTTAGTTTCCTGAATTAGGAACAAATTAACTCATTATCCACACCGCACAAAGCAAAACAATATCTGTAAGTAGCAGCTTAACATATTTTTGGGGAGATGTGCTGGGTGTAGCTGGCAAGGTTTTGGTATTGGAGCGGGCTGCAGGGGTGGCCAGGAGGAAGGACTGAGGTGCCCTGTGCCAGGCACAAATGGTTCCAGCAGTAACAGACCCATCACACACCAAAGCGGAGCCAGCCAGGGCAGTTTGTGGTGCCTCTGTGAAAACATAATTAGGAAAGGGCAGAAACTGTCAGGCAGAGAGGAGAAGTGAACAAAGAGGGAGGGCCAGCAAAGGGAACACCAAGGTCAGAGCAGTGGAAGGTGCTCCATGGTGGTAGGAACACTCCCACTGAAGGGACTGTGGGCCGTGGAGGACCCACGCCAAATCAGACAGACCCCGAAAGGACTGTGGCCCATGAAGGACCCACGCCAGAGTAGGAACACCCCTGAAGGGACTGCAGCCCATGAGCAAGCCCATGCCAGGGCAGATAGACCCCAAAAGGACTGCAGCCCGTGAAGGACCAACACCGGATCATGTACCTCAACATGCAGCCTGTGGATCAGCCCATGCTGGAGCACTGGAAATGAGTGAGAGGGAAGAAATGGTAGAAAGAAGCTGCTGTTTGCCAACCCTGAGCTGCACCAGTCATCGCCTTGCCAGGGGCTGAGTGAAACCTGGTGTGGTAACGAGGAGGCGAGACTGGAGTGAAGAAGTGGCTGGGTACCACTGGTGTTTTCAAGGAATCATCAGTCACAACTCCAAGGTGCCTGTTTCTGAGTGGGGATGGACAGCTCAGCACAACATTGTTTATGCAAAAACAGACCTGTGTTTTGCTAGAGCACCTCAGTTTTAATTAATTTATACTCAGTTTTACTGTCCAGCATACCACTTCACCATTCAGCTTTGCAAAGTTCTCCCATAAACCCTCATCTCTACTACTCTGGGTTTCGTTGTTTCATAAAAAGCTTTATAACATCCCAGTTCACATCCTTCCCTAGATCTCTGATCAGTAGAAGAACTGCTGGGGACAGCTTGGGGGACACAAACAGAGACCCCACAAGACTCTGTGACCCTCATGGTAGTGTGGGTGATGAGCTGCCACATACAACATGAGCTTCCTGGGTGTGGGGATTTCTTACCTGCTGGGCTGTGATTGCAAAAGCCAGGTGAGGGATGAAACAGCTACAGGTATATTAATAAAATAGGCCAGACTTTGTTCTTGTGCCACATAAATTCATTAAACACTGTAGAACAGGAATCTCCTTTTGTAATAGTCCAGCTTTATAAATACGGCAGCTGTGCAGCAAAACACATTTCGTATTCTAAGACTTGGAGAACGTAATGGAAGTAGATACATTAATTCAGTAGAAATATTATGGATTTCATAGTTTTTGTGCTGGATTTACAGCGTTGATCTATGAATCAGATCTACGGCAGCTTAGCACATGGATAAATAACTCGGGCAACAGAAATCACATCCAAGTTGTATGAGGATAATCAGAACTGAAAAGACAGCTAAAAAACCCCAGTGCCCGCAGGTGTTTGTGCTCTTCCCCGTGACCCGGGGACCTGGCTCCCCGAGCCCCCAGTGCGTACAGGGGTGGAGGAAGGGGACAGTGCCTGTGCTGTTGGGGGGGGGGGGGGATGAGGTGCGTGCAGCAGGTTTAACCTCACCCTGACTGAGACCGTCCTCAGAGCTCACGCTGGAAAATGCGAGCAACCCTCCTCCAGGCAGATGCGTCATCATCGGCCATGGCGTGTCTAGCCAAGAGGCTGGGAGCAGGCGTGGGGCTCCGGTTTGTGCCAGTGCCGCGCGCCTGAGGAGGGGGCATCACCCGGCGCCCACCCCCTCTCCCCAGCAGCGAGGGTCAGCACCTCGAACCTCACTCCTCTCCCAGCTGCCTGCCAACACAAGATGGCTCGGTCCCTCTTTCCCCCACCCTCTTTACATGGTCCAGCAGCATCAATAGCTCTTTGGAGGGGACCTGCCAGCCATCAGCTCATTTCCTCAGCACACAAAAAGAGAAGAAATGCAGCCTGTGGAGCTCAAACGAGAATGTTATTTACCTCCAGCTCACTATCAGCACAGTGACGTCAAAGCCAAATACTCCAAAAATTTTCCAGTTCTGCACAGGCTGACCTCTGGATTTAGTACCCTCCTCGGTCTGCCAAGCAGGCTTTGCTGCTTGCTGCGGGCAGTGGTGAGCTGAAATGCTACCATTTTCAGCAGATATGTACAATCCTCTCACAGTTCTTAAGTCTTAAACATAAAAGATTCAGGAGAAGAGATGGGAGTCATTTAAAGTGGATCATGTACCTGCTGCAGACTTGATATGTCTAGGGCTAGTTTTTGTAGCCCATCATGTGCTGCAATTTGCATGTGCAGTTGTATGGAAATACATACATGCTCCTGTGGATGGGATGTGCAAGAATTTAGATTCTCTTGAGAGAAAATGCAATGAGCACCTGGTCACACATCTTCTTGGTTTTGACACCATATGCAATGGGGTTCAATGTGGGGGGTGAAGGGAGGTAGAAACTGGCCATCGAGATGTGCTTATGAGAGGCAATTTGGCAACCAAACCTGTGGATTACTGATGAGAGAACCACAAGTGTGTAGAGACCAGGGATGACACAGATGTGAGAGAGGCAGATCTCAGACACCTTCAGTCTCTCCTCCTTGGATGCCAAGCTCAACACAGTCCCCAAGATTCTGAGGTAGGAGGGACCAATGGACAATAGATCCAACCCCACAATGAAGAAAACCATGATGATGGTATTGAGCCTGGTGTTGGCACGGGCCAGCTCTACCTCTGCCATGTGTTTGCAGTAGCAGTGGGACATGATGTGGGAGCAGCACTACGGCAGGCGATGAAGGAGAAGAGGCAGGGACAACATGAGCATGGCTGCCCTGGCTAAAACCACCAGCCCGTTCTTGACTGCCAGTGAGATGGTCAGGATGGAGCTCGTAGCTCTGGCAGTTGTAGTTGGCAACATGCTGAAAGCCATGGCCAGCAGCTCCACCGACTCCATAACTGAGAAAGTGTGAAGTAAAAACACCTGCACAAGGCAGGCACTGAAGGTGATCTCTTGGGCGTTGAACCAGAAGATGCTCAGCATTTTGGGCATGGTGGTCAGGGACAGCACCAAGTCAATGACAGCCAGCACGGAGAGGAAACAAAACATGGGCTTCTGGAGAGATGGCTTCATCTTCATCAGGTGCAAGAGGGTGCTGTTCCCATGGAGGGCTAGGGTGAACACTGTGCTGAATGGGATGGAATCCAGGGGTGCATATCTTCCAGCCCAGGGATGCCAGTCAAGAAAATTGGAATTGTGCTGTTGGAAGGGAGAGAGTTTGACATTGAGAGGCATCCTTTGCAAACTACACCTAAAAGTCTTTCTTTTCAATAAAACATAATAGAAAGAATCATTAAACTTTGCAAAACATACCCAGATTGTGCCACTTTCACTGCAACTCCCATGTAACGCGTGAACTGGATTTGTTATTCTGCTTGTTACTAAATCATGGCAAGGTCAGCTTGGGGAGTTTATCAAAAGAGTGTGAAGTGATATCAAGTAAAAAGGACGATCACCATTGTTCAGATATGAACTTATTCATTGCTTATTTGGATTCAAGACACCTCTCCTTCCCTGGAGTGGGTGGAGGAGCAGCAGATGGGTCCTCAGCACCATGAGGCTGGCACAGTCCTGATATCCTCCGCCAGGGACACCTTGGATTCTCCAGGACCCCCTGGCCCCCCCTGGGGTGGCTCTGCCAGCTGTGCTCAGGGGCACAAGCCACAGCTGGAGAGTGGGTCCCAGGTGAGGAAGACTTCTGGTTTGACCCAGCACAGGTGCCCTTGTGAGTTCCCAGGTGAAACTAAGAAAAAGTCACGCATCATCAGAATTCAAGCTGGGTGTTCATCCCACAACAGCTCGGGACCTACATCAGACCCTGGCTCAAGCTGTGAGTGAGCAACAGCTCCTCTTCTCCAAGGACCTCGGTCTCTCCAGCCTGCTGAGCAGAGTTCAGAAGCTGGGAAGTTTACAGCCAAGCTGTCTCCTGGGAGGTTTCACAACCCAGCTGGCAATCTTGTGTCATTCTCCCTCTTTCCAGCTGCAGAAGATTAGGATTAACTCTTGCCTCTCTGAGTTGGAGGAAACCCGTGCTGCAGAAGAAGGGAGGCAGGGACTTATTTACCTTCTCCCTAAGATGTTTCTCTTGACCAGAGTCCCAGTAGACTTTCCCTGTCTCTTTTTACAAAACCCAAGCAATTAATCACTGCCACCATCTCTGGGAGGCCCAGCCAGCCACCCCAAGTGCCCAGCGTTCCCTGAGATTTCTCCTCTAGCTCTATCAGAGTTCTCATCCTGGCTGGGGAGGCTTCCTCCACCTTTTGCCTCCCAGTCACAGCACCGCAGGCGAGGTGCAGAGTCCCAGGTGGGGTAAAGGACGTGGTAATCACGAAGCGGTGTTCAGCGGGAAGGCGCTGTGCTGGCCCACCTCTGCGTTATCAAGAACGAGCCTCCAGTCAGGTCTCCTTGCTCCTGTTTGCACTGTGATAATGACAAGAGGCCTCAGAGCAGAAGAGCCACCCCATCTCAGGCGCACAAATGCGACACCTTTACCTGCAAGGGGTGAGAACCCATCCACTGGGTCGTGCCGTGGGACTGCATGTGGAGCACCAGGCTGCCTAGCAGGTCCACGTCTGGCTTCCCTGCTGAGGGGCTCCTGGAGTGAGATGCAGCTGGAGGGGGCTTTCTGAAGAGGTCCTTCTGAACACGATGCTGGGTGCCCACCCCACGCGCTCTGGGCTCTCCCCACCTCTGCAGTGAGATGTTGCCGGTCCCTTGATGGCCAGGTCAGACTTTGGAGTGGGAGTGAAGTTACCTCTTGGCTGTGGGGGCCCTGAGACAGGACTCTGCGTGTGGTAGGGCAGGACTCAGTGGTGGCTTCCCACCACACCGATGTCTCCATGCCCTCTGATGCTGCTGAAATCACACCTCAAGGCAGCCCTGTGCACCACATTAGAAGCAGGCTGAAAGTAAGTTGGATGTCTGGAGCCACCAGTGAATTGTATGTTGAGAAACGTGAATGCAGGGAGAGCCCAGCTGATGGAAATACATGTCTGGAAGAAAAACATGTCTCCATGGGTGTGTGCCCAGGAACAGTACACAGAAGAAGAAGGGACAAAAAAACAGACCAAGGAAGCAAGGAGTTTCCATTGGGAGCAAAACGGTCTCGACCTGGGGATTTTTACTTAATTTATTTTACAACAAATTAACATGAGATTTTGATAATTAAATTCATGTATTGAGGAAAAAATAATTTTAAAAATAATATAAAACACATTTAGGGAAATACCATTCCTCCTCCTTCCCCTGACTTTTCATCACTGCAACATCTCTTCTCCCCTGTCCCAGTCTCAGCTCCCTGTGTCATCCCCACACATTGCACTCCTGCCCTCCCGGACACTTTGTGGGACAACGGTGGTGCTGGAGGTCTGGATCAGTGCGTGGTGGTTTCCTTCTGCTGCTCCTTGGTCCTTATTCATTCTCCTCTGCCTCAGTTTGGATCTCCCACGGCCCCTCAGGGCTGTCCCTGCCCTGGCGTGTGTCACCTCCTTCCAAGAGCATCACCAGCTGTGCTGTCTTTGTAGCCAAAATGCCAGCAGAAGCCCAGGTTCCTTAATCTCCTCGTCCTCTCCAGTCTCTGCAAATTTCTACTGGTTTTGGTAACTCTCTTTTGAAGGACCAGTAGCCCAAGGGGCCAGCAAACCCGTAAGTCATTGCTGTTTGTGTCATGTTTGTAGTTGCCAGACTGAAACAGCTAAAAAATTGCCATTGATCACAGCTGTGGGGATTATCTGAATGGTTTCCTGCCCTCCTTCCCCACTCACCTCTCCTGAAATACCGTGCTGATCGTCGCTGGTTCATACATGACCTCCAGCCTCAGAGACTGCAAAGACAGGGAATAACTAAATTAGGTCCAAAAGATCAGCACTCATTTATGAAGCATTCACTAAAGTTCATGGATGCTTCAAGATCCACAGAGGAAAGGTGACATTAAAATACAGCCCTAAGAATCCAGGCTGCTGTCCTGTGCCCCAGGAGCACAGAGCCACCGGGTCCAAACAGAAAAAAAATTTTACACCAACAGAATTAAGCCTGAAGGACACGTGCACAGTTGCGTGTGTACCAGGAGAACAGCTAATCATGCCCAGAGGAATATTTGCCCACCCAGAGATAAAATTCCTCCTTTGTGGACCAAAGAACTGTTTGGCACTGCTTAATGCTGAGACAGACATAACCCATGCAGTGGGAAAGGGGAGTAAATTTGTTTACAAAGTGTTGCTATTCCTGGTTATTCCCATGCAGCAGTTTCTCCTCTGTGATGTTTAGTGTCTCTGAGGTCCCAGCAGTGAGTGATTAGGGTGATTGGGTTCCTTAAGGCATATAAATATTTCCATGCATGTCCTTTTGACAGGTTGAGGGATTGCTTGGTTGTGTGAGAGAGAAAGAGTATTTGAAGGTGATGTAGGTACAGCCAGGGTCACATCCAAATCATTCAGGTGAGCTGGGTAGATGGGGTTTTTTTCATTTAATCGGGTATTATGTCAGTATTTTTAGGCATAGTGTCAAGATCTGATCCAATTTCAAATTTTAGCCAAACTGAGGTGGAATATAAAACAACCTATCCAGAGAAGCTGATATGCAGATACGGCAATACATCTAAGTGGTCTTTGTCTCTTATTGAATTAATGAGATTACTTCTAAATACCTCACATTACGTGAGTATTGTGGTAGAGAACTGCCAGTAATACACCTGCAACCTCAGTTTGCTTCCTTGCATAGGTTAATTACAGCTATGCTAATTATTTGGCTGCAAACTGTTGCTTGGTTAAATCAACTTTAAACAAGCTGTAGATGCGTAGGTGTAACATCTGCTAACCCGGTCATCTGTGAAGACCTGCAATTACCCCATCATAGCTCTAGTCCTGTCCTTTTTGCTTGTGCAAACCTGAAGAGGATGGCAAACACCACGAGGAAGGTAATAATTTGTTCTTCTCCCTTATGGAAAGGACAAAAGTCACGAGTTCCAGAGAGGTACAGGCTTGATACTAGAAAAGTGCTGTGAAATGAGCGATTTGGGGAAAGTATCGACTTTCTGAAAAGGGAGATCAGGTTGTGCATGTATCTATCAGAGATTACTTTTGATCTTCTCCTGGGGAAGGCATATGGACTGTGTGATTGCTCTAGGTTTCTTAAAACCCCAAATTCAAAGGATCTTTGTTTCATGACAGCCTGTGCGCTGATCGGGAGTGCTGGGTGGCTGTTAGCACGGTCAGATCAGCATGTGGGTGCAAAAGGAGTTGGCTATATGTTTTTCATAGGCTCAGACTGCATGGCTGGTAGATTTACAATGTCTGAAAATGGCACAAAATGTTAACTGTATAAAATCTTGTAAATTTAATTACTATTGCTTAGCAGCAGAGAGGCAGAGCTGACAAAAATGAGTGAGGAAAGAGTTAAAATCTCAACTTCAAGTACCAGGATCTATCCCCTCCTTACAAAGTCAGGGAAGCTTTTCCAGTATGCCAGCAATTAAATATTTCAACTCCTTTTGCACTCCGTTACTACTGAGCAACTCATTTTCTAAGGGCGTTTTAATCCGTTTCACTGTTTAAAGTACAATAAGTGTGCAACAAATCTACTGGGGTACAGCAAGCTAGGTCAAGGTTCCTGGTGATGTCCCCCATTTATAGAAAAATCTGGATTTTCCCTACTGCAGTGAACAAAACTTGTCGCTTCACAAGTTACTGAACTACTTAATAGCGCAAAATCAAACTCTAGCAGCTTTTTGTGCCAATGAAGCACAAAGAAAATGCTCAGAAGTGTGCCAACGGGCCTGAAAGCGCTGCGCCGCTTGAGCAGCGACGCGTCCGAGAGTGCTGCTGTTGCACGTACAACTCAAAAAATAGCCAAAATGGCAATTTTGCGTGTCCCTGGGGGCCGGTGGCAGAAGCGAGAGGCCTGTGCGAGGCTGGGTGGGGGTCGGGGAGGTGAAGGAAGAGCTGCTCCGGGTGCGATGCTCTGTGCGGGGCTGGGACGTGGCGCGAGGCGCCTGTTCCCGTGTGTGGGGTCAGGGTCCGGGGGTACCTTTGGCTGCCGGTACGCCAGCACCGTGGCAGCAGGGCACGCCAGGAGGACGAATGACGTGCGGAGGAGGGTCGGGTGTAACGTGGATGAAACAGAAGTGCCGCAGGGAACAGCGTCTTTGCATGACCCGAATGGGCTGGTCGGAGAGACTGAGCTAAAGGGCTGGTTTCCTCGGTATTTCATGTGTCTGTGCGTACCCAAGAAATCAGACCCTGCTGGCACAGCCCTCTGAGCATACATGAAAAGAAACCAGTAAAAACTGGGTCTGACGCTTGTTGCATAGCATTATTTAATAATCTGGATAGCTTTATTCTACAAGATGAAGTACAGGTAACACTGACCAGCACAGTACACAGGATTTGTAGATCAATTATCTTTGACAGAGAGGAGGGAGGGAGTATCTGCTTTTTTCCAAGCAGAGAATTACAGGATCTCAGATGTGTTTGCCTTTTCCAGATAAATAATTCTGGCACGAGACACATTTCCTGCAGCACTGGCTTGTGCCAGCTGTGGCTCTGCCTCCTTGAATTTATAGCCAAGGTAGCTGACTACACTGCAAACAGAGTCCTCTTTGCAATAAACTATTATAAATAACATTGTCTTGGCAGCATTTTTACAATATTGGCTTTGCAGTATTTGGCCTTACATTGCAAACAGCAGTGGCTAGAAGCAGGCTGAAATGCCTTTTCGTTTGTGTCACGCGAACGACTCAAAGCAATTTGGAGGAGAAATGAAACTATTTAGGGGTCAAGGAAGTCAAATATCTGGAAAGCCAAGGAGATGAAGTCTGGCCCTTTGGTATGTTGGGGAAAACAGAGGGTGCAAGTGCCTGAGAAACTTGCATCTAATTCCCATACTGACAGCAGGCAGGCTAATTTAACCCTTCCACGCCTCTGTTTTCCCTATAAAAGGGGGACGATTCACAGCACTTTTCTTTTGCCAAGGGCTGGGGGGTAAAGAGGTTCACCACTGTGGGAGGGTTAGTGCTGGAGGGGACCAGCACTGCAGGCTCTGGCCAGTTTTGGTCATGACACTGGTTTACTTTCCTCAGTCAGGAGACAGGGACCCCGTGGGTGGGTTGCCCATTCAGAGAGGGATCCTGGCAGGGTGGTTTGGATTTGGGCTCCAGCAGCTGGCTGTGCTGCCCTGAAGCAGGACATGCAGCTGGGGGATGAACGGGGTCAGTGGCTGCTCCCACGGGCATCAGCTCTGACAACAAAAATGCTCTGGGCAACAAACACTGATGTTGTAAATATACATCTGCTGCAGTTCCTCAAGATGGGGATCAGATGGGACACACCAGCCCAGAAGGAGATATGGTTTCCACCTGCAGAGGTGTGGGGGTGAGCAGAGTCCTGCTGAGCTACATCCTCAAAGTATTCTGGATATTCCCCCTTCTCCCATATTAGATATTTGTCCTGATGGCAACTATATATACTCGACTTCTAGTTTGTAACTCCCAAACTATGGAGGGGAGGGGTGGAGACAACAGCCAGAGGACAGCCCAGGGTTGGAGGAGAGGTAAAATAACTCCCAAATGTTCGGGCTAAGACCATGTGAGTTTGCATCTTGCCAATGATGGGACTGAGTGTACCTGGATAAGAGGCAGGAGGATACAAATCATATCGTAGAATATCTCGAGTTGGAAAGGATCCGTAAGGATCATCGAGTCCAGGTCTGTGTGCCTAAGACAAACAGGGGTATTTGCTTGTGGCTGGAGTCCGCAGCAGTCCTTGCTACAGCTCATTCCTCTCCCTGTCTGCATCTTCCCTTCCAGCTCTGCAACGGTGCCTCATGTCCTACCCAAATCACTCCAGTCCCTTGCCCTTCATCCTGGCAGGCATCCCTGGGCTGGAGGATGTTCAGTTCTGGATTGCCTTCCCATTCTGCGCCATGTACTTCATGGCAGTGCTGGGGAACATCACACTCCTCCTAGTGATTAGGATGGAGACAAGCCTACACCTGCCCATGTTTTACTTCGTCTCCATGCTGGCTGCCACTGACCTCGTGATCACCACTTCCACCATGCCCAAGCTCCTGAGCATCTTCTGGTTCCGATTCCACGAGATCGACTTTGAGGGCTGTGTGGCCCAGATGTTCTTCATCCACAGCTTCTCCATGGTGGAGTCAGGGGTCCTGCTCACCATGGCCTTCGACCGGTACCTGGCCATCTGCAAGCCCTTGCACTACTCTGCCATCCTGACTGGCCCCACCATCGCCAAGCTGGGCTTGGCTTCCGCGGTGCGTGGCATCACCATCGTCACCCCTGGGATTTGCATGCTGACTGCTCTGTCCTACTGCGGCCCCCGTGTCATTCACCACTCCTACTGCGAGCACATGTCGGTGGTGAAGCTGGCCTGTGGGGACACCCGGCCCAACAGCATCTACGGGCTCACGGCTGCCACCGCCGTGGTGGGCTCAGACTCCATCCTCATCGCCGTCTCCTACGTGCTGATCCTGAGGGAGGTCATAGGCCTCTCCTCCAGAGAGGCTCGGCTGAAGTCCTTCGGCACCTGTGGCTCCCACATCGGCGTCATCCTGCTCTTCTATGTGCCTGCGCTCTTCTCCTTCTACACTCAGCGCTGGGGCCAGAGCATCCCCGCACACATCCACATCCTGATGGCCGACCTCTACGTGCTGGTGCCTCCCACGCTCAACCCGCTCATCTACGGGATGAAGACGGAGTCGATCCGGGAGCGGGTGCTGAGCCTGCTCTGTCAGAAAGGGAGCCAGCCCAGGTCCTGACCCCAGCCCATCGCTAGTGCCAGGTGGCAAGGAATAGGGTTCGGACCGGGGAACAACAGCAGCGTGTTCGGGGAGCAAAGAAAAAGCTTAAAAAGCTGTCTACTGGAAAAACGGGATGATCCCTTCATCGTCTTGGCCAAGCCCTGAAAGCTGGAGGCACTGTGGAAAATTTGACTGGTGAAACATTATTTTTAGAAAATGAATTCTACATTCCTGTTTAGAATGGAAATGTAATCGTGTCAAACTGTATCTGTGTCTTTGTTCCTCCTCGGATCTGTATCACCTCATGACTCCCCTCTTCATCTCAGCTCTTGAAAAAAGACTTGTTACCACTTTGGAAATGAAAGTCTGTTCATGGATTCATCCTCCCCACATACCTTTTTCACCCAGTCTGTAACTCTCCATTTATTCACTTACTAGTTTATAGCAGCTGCCAATCTGGCTATGCGGTGAGAGTGTGTTTTGGGGGGGGGGGGGGGGGGGTGTATCCACATTTACACACACATTCATCCAGATGTTGGCCCAAAATGATCTTGTTTTCCCCCCAGCCCTGTCCTGAAACCTTACTGAAGCATTTTCAGCAATCACAAGAAACCAGAGAACAGGGTCTACAAGTCACACTCAAACCCTACAGTGTCACATAAGGTTCTGTTCCTTTCTTATTAGAAACACCAAGACAGCATCAGCCACAAAATGTTATTCTACAAAATTTTTCCCAATATTTTAATGAGACTCCCTAACTTTCTCTGTCATTGTGTCTCTTCCCTAAGCATATAAGCACCTGTAATGGAATTTTGTGAAGTTCCAATTTTTCATAAACCTTCACTTGCCTCTGAACTCCTGTGAGATCCTACTCAGGTGATTTTGGCACTTTAGTGGTGGCTCTCCTCTTTGGAGACCATGTAATTCTGCACGGGGGCAACACATCACTCCTTCCCCTGAATTAACACTCAGGTGCAGTGTTGTGTCAGGGGGAGCGGGAGCTGTTTGCAATGGAGTGCTTAGAGCAGCTGGAGAGTGCAATTGCACGAGTCTCCTTTGTTTATGCAAAGGATGGGAACATAAACTAAAAAAAAAAAAAAGCCTGCAGGGCTGTTGTAGGAGGGTCACAGCTGAGCACTGGAGCCAAGGAACAAGAGTGTGGATTAAAGTAGGAGAGCAGAGACCAGGGACTAAGGTCTTCTTGTTCTCCTCAGCAAACCTGTACCTGCTTTTATCTATGATGAAAACTCATCTCCTAACACCACATACTGATTTACCATCCCAGCTCTCCTTGTGCCCTCACCCCATGGAAATCAGGGCACAGGAATTCCCTGGGTCTGGTCTCTAAGGGAAGGCCAAGGTCCTGCATGTATCCCGCACTGAGCTAGAGGGGCAAGGGCAGAATTACAAAGAGCTGTGGTGACCACCAAACCCAAGCTGGTGGGTACAAACTCAATTCTTCCAGTGCCTCCTGACACTGCTGCCTTTGGGTGCCTTCTGGACTAGGCACAGTCGTATCCCCCCACCACCACCCCCTCAGCAACAGTACAATGTGCACAATGCCCAACAACTGAAACACAGCACAGATCCTCCCGCCTGTCTTGGAGACCAGACCCTTCCAACCCAAATCTTGTAGTCCTGGTCTAAGATGGGGCTGGAAGGTGTCCATGCTAGGTGCAGTGCCTGGAGCCTGCCAGGCAGCAGATTTATTCCCCAGTAACAGTGTGCCGTAGTTTGATCCCAAAGGGCAACTGAGCACCACGCAGCCGTTCACTCCCCACTTCCCTCACAGCGCTGGGAAGGAGAAAATAAAGCAATAAAGGCTCAGCAATTGTGATAAGGACAGGGAGGGGAGGCTCACCCAGTAGGGGTAAAAGACAGACTCATTAGCAAAGAAAAAAACCTATCACTTTAATTCAAATGCTAACAAAGACAACACTTAACAGACAAGGTGGGGACTGTGAGAAGCACCACCACATCCAAAAAACCTTCTCCCACCCCTCTGTTCTTCCCAGGCTCAGCGCTGCTCCCAGTCTCTTCCCCTCCTCCCCCAGCAGCGCAGGGGCAGGGGATGGGGGTTACAGCCAGCTCACTGCATCTTCCTTCTCGGGATGGGGGTGAATGCTGCCCATCCCTCCCCTGCTCCACAGGGCTCCCCTCTCACTGCAGACAGTCCTCCATGAACCTTCTCCGCAGTGAGTCCTCCCCACGGGCCGTAGCCGTTCCCGAGCTGCTCTGCCGTGGGTCCCCCTGTGTATTGCAGCCCTCCCAGCGCCGAACCACAGCAGCGGGGGCTGATTCTCCCCTCAGAGTCCCGGCCTCCCTTAAGTGCAGCTGCCTGTCCTGGTGTGGGCTCCTCCACAGGCTTCAGGTCGGCATCTGATCCACCGGTGACGTCCATGGGTGGCAGGGGGGGTGACCCTGACATGTCCCCACAGGATACAGGGAGGGTTTCTGCTTCCTTCCCCTCACCTCAGTGTTCACATAGGTGTCCTTCTTGTAATACTTCCTCACAAGTCCCAATCCTCTCTCGAGTTCCTCTTCTTAAATACATTTTGCAGAGGCACAGCCACTGTCACTAATTGCCTCAGCCCTGGCCGGAGGCGGGTCCAACTTGGAGCCAGGGGAGCTTCGAGAAGCTTCTCACAGGGGCCAACTCTCTAACCCTCTCCCCTGCTACCAAAACTCTGCCACACAAACCCAGCACAAGGTTCTGCCTCCACCGCCACTGACTGGTGCTTCCCAGGGAGGACGCACTGCTCCCGGTACCACCCAACCTTCCCCTTCCCTGGGGACACCCAGCCAGCCTTGGTGCAGCTCTTCTCACCCCCCTTCAGGGAAGCACATCACTGCTCTCAGCAGCCCTTTCGCCGCCCACTGTCAGCCCTCTTTGCTCAGGGTGGGTTTCAACGGCAAACCCCAGCTTTTCAGAAGAATGAGATTTAGACAAAATTAGTCTCAATTAAGTCAAAATGTCCAGAATTGGTCTGCCACATGGTTTATATCTAATTGTGCTCTTTCTGCTGTCGTCTTAGAGGATGCAAAACACAAGTGTGGGCCAGGCCATCCCTCCCCTGACATGCAGCCTCTGACAGGATGGAGACAGCCAGGAGCTCCATCTCATGGTCACACAGACCATGGAAGGAGACCCAGACCTCATCTGGAAAGATTCAGCATCCCAAAAAGAGGGAGCTGGAAATGACAAGGGACCTGTGTTTGGAAGGCTGCAGGGTCAAAGGATGGAGAAAAGTTCAACACACTGAAAGGGTTATAAGCACTACAGGGGATTGGCAACAATATTTTCTCAATTAAACAAACTGAATTAGGAGATGAGTCAGTAAATAAGTGAGTCAGCTGCACATGTGCATGTGTGTGGACTCATTTCTTGAGCCATGAGACAGACACACCAGGGATTCCTCTCAGCAAACTTGTAAGTGCTTCCACCACTAAAAGCTGCTGGGTCAGAGAAGCAGGAGACAGATGTGGTGGAAGCAGGGCTGGCTGCATCACTCCTGCAGCGACTGGGTGAGCTGGGTACAGCTGGGTGAGCTGGTTTATCCTGACAAATATGCAGCAGCAAGCCAGGTAGGTCATCCATCAGTTTAAGGATCTTAAATAGAAGTAGTACAAGAGGATTTGCTGCTGCAGTCTTTTCTTTATAAAATTAAAAAAATAGATCTATTTAAAACTAAATAGATAGGTAGGTAGGTAGATAGATAGATAGATAGATAGATAGATAGATAGATAGATAGATAGATAGATAGATAGATAGATAGATAGATAGATAGATAGATAGATAGATAGATAGATAGATAGATAGATAGATAGATAGATAGATAGATAGATAGATAGATAAAAATAGTCTGGAAAAAAACCATGAGCCTCTCCAGTCCCATACTTCTTGACTACATTCTCTACCTGCAGCCTGGATTCTGGAAAAAATTCTTAGTCAACCTTGCCTTCTTGCAACGGAAAAGTCTCAGACCACCTTGCACATTGTGATCGCGGGGAGCTGGCTTTACAACTACATAAATTTAAGGGTAAACTTTATCTGCAGGCGTGTAGCTTATATTCTCCTCCATTCTGTTTGCTTGCTCTCAGGAACGGGAACAGACGGGTGGGGGAGTGGGGAGGGGACATGCTTGTTTTGTTTCTGAAGGTGTTCCTGTGGTCACTCCATGGAGCTCCAGAAGTCTCACAGAACAGATGTGAACAAAACCTGATCTGACCTGGCACCCTTGCCAATACAAGGTGGCTGTACCAGGGTCATCCTTAACAGATTTTGTCCTTCTTGGTCTTCTGCAAAAACAGCATCAGACTCCATGGGCAATACAGTTCTATATTCATTAAGACCTTTTACATCACAGAAATGTTCTTTAAGCCTAGACTGAATTTCTCCTACTCTTTCTAGGTTCTAAACACTTGACATGTGCTTTCAGAAGATGTGTAGGACAGATTATTGCCTTCCACTTCACCGTAGCCTTTAAAGGCTTTTCTCAAGACCATTCCCCAGGTGAACCAGTCCCCTCAGCTCTCCAGCTTAGCTGCATCCTTATTTCTGAACTCCCTCTAGTTTGCTATTGTTTTCTCTAAAGTGCCCACCACAATGCACTTCAGTCTGCAGACCTCCAGCTCAGTCCTTTGCCCCTGCCCTTCACATTCATCCTACCTGTTGGTGTCCATTGAGCAAGCAATTCTGAGTGTGATTTGCTCAGACACTTTTATCTGCTAATGTGTTTTATAAATAAAAAGCAAGCAAGCAAGCAAGCAGATTTGCCAGGGGAGATCTACCCTTGATAATGTGTTGCTTTCTGGACATGTCACACTCTGCCTGCAAGGTACTGCTGGAAAAGAGTAATTATTTTGGCTGAAAGATGGGTTGCATCCCTGGAAGCAGAAAGCCCAATGCCTCTCTTTCCTGAGTAGGAGAGGTGAAAGTGATGTGGGCAAATGGACTTCAAAAGCGTGGGAGTATTGGAACCACACATGAAGTGGAGCTCTTCAAAGACTGTTCTTGGGCAAACTGTTGTGCATCATCCAAGACTCCTTCGCGAGACCTCGTCTGTGTGACTCCAACCAGGCATGGCCAAGAAAGGCACCTTAAGGGAAGGTGTAAATAGGAAAACTGCTTGTGCAACAGGGAGCAGAGCTCTGGTCTTGTGAAGGGGACAAAGGAGCAGAGACTCATCTGTTCAGCAAATGTCAGGCTGGGTTGAGTGGCTTTATAGACATGCTGGGGTGCAAATGCCAGGGAGGGAAAAGTGTAATCAGATTTAACTTCAGAGGTGATAGAAACTGGACAGGAACACACTGAGAGAGGAAAGTAGAGATAATTCCCAGCTGTTGGAGCAGGCTGGAGGGTTGGAGCTGTCTCCCAGCAGATGCATGAAAGCAAAATATCCTGGGATGGTGACTACCAGTTTCCCTGAGTAAGGTAAGCTGTTGCTTCTAAAGCAACAGATGACACTGTGATACCGAAGGTCCTTTTCAGCTCCATCTTTCTAGGTACAGAGCAAGACAAATGGGAGACGAAGATGGGAAATCAAATAGTCAGTCCTGACAGAGGAGTGAAAAAATTCTCCTGAAGGTCTGGAATAAAACTTCCATCATCTGAAGTTTACTTACTTCCACATCTCATGGTGGCATGTGGAGAAAGGACAGGGACTGGGCTAACTCTTCTCTGCTTGTTTTGATATAGGAACTATGGGACATCAAACCTTAACAAATGTCAGGCTCACAGGAAAAGGAAGGGGTTAGTTCACAAAAGGTCCACTATGTTGTGAAACTCCTTGCTAAAAGACAGTGTGGAGGCTAAAATTTTGCACAAAAGAGACTCGATGGGTTTCTGGCGTGGGGTTACTACAAATGGAGAAACTGCATCCAGCGCAAGGAGTCCCTGAGCTTCGCATGGTTGGAAGATGGGGCGGCACTTGGGAAAGGTGTTGTGGTATTTGTCCTTCCTCGTGCTCTTCCCTAAGGGTCTGCTTTTGATGCTGGATACAGGAGCTGAGGCTGGATGGACCTTTGGCGTGGCCCAGGCTATGGCTGTCCTTGGGTGCCTGGGCTCTCCTCACTCAGGCTCCTGCAGTGACCACCATGTCCCCCTCGCGTCCCACCAACACCTCGCTGTCGGAACTGCACCTGACAGGCATCCCGGGGCTGCAGCACCTGCACCACTGGATCTCCGTCCCCTTCTGCATCATGTACCTCGTCACGCTGGCTGGGAACAGCACCCTCCTGTGTGTGATAAAGGCTGATCCCAGCCTGCACATGCCCATGTTCCTTTTCCTGTCCATGCTGGCTGTCATTGACCTGGTGATGTCCACCTCTATCACCCCCAAAATGCTGGGCATCTTCTGGTTTCACTCCACTGCCATCAGCCTGGATGCTTGTCTCACCCAGATGTACTTTGTTCACGCTTTCTCTGTGATGGAGTCGGGGGTGCTGGTGGCGATGGCCTTTGATCGCTACGTGGCCATCTGCAATCCCCTGAGGTACTTGTCCATCCTGACCAGCCCTGTTGTGGCTGCCATCGGCTTGGCCACCTTGCTCAGGGCTGTGGTTTTCATGAGCCCCCTCACTTTCCAGATTCGCCGCCTGCCCCTCTGCAGCCTGGCAGCCGTGGACCACTCGTACTGCGAGCACATGGCCGTGCTCAAACTGGCCTGCGGCAACGCTGCCTTCAGCAACACCTACAGCCTCTCCTTCTCCACCTACGTGGGCAGCTTCGACTCGCTGCTCATCGCCCTCTCATACATGCTCATCCTCCGAGCTGTGCTCAACCTCTCCTCCCCACAAGCCCGCAAAAAAGCCTTCAGCACCTGCGGCTCGCACCTCTGCATCATAGCCCTCTTCTACATCCCTGGGCTGCTCTCCATGTACATGGAGAGGTACCAGCAGGAGCTCCCACCACACATCCAGGTCCTGTTGGCTGATCTCTACCTCCTCATCCCACCAGCATTCAACCCCCTGATCTACGGCATCAGGATGAAGCAGATTCGTGATGGAGCACGCAGGGTGATGTCCCGGAGGAGACCCATAGCAGGAGGGATTGGGCCTGGCCTTCAAGGCACAGGGCTGGGCCACACGAAGACCAGGTCCATCCCTTAGAATGGCCAAAACCTCTGATGGACCTTGGTGTGGCTCTCTGTACTTCCAGAGCTGCAGGAGTCCCAGGAAATGTTGGCACCCACTGAACTCGGGTCAGCACCAAAAGGCTTCAGCTGGTTGTTCTCCTGCCTGTCCCTAGCACAAGACAGTGACATTGGCACAGGATCTCTGGGTGGTCCAGTTCCCTCAGATGTCCCAACATAAATAAGGATTTCAGCCACCACCTGACCTTGTCCTGGCAAAATGACCTAACGCAGCTGAACCACAGAAACTAGCTGTTTCCTTAATATACCACTTTATGTGCAGCGAAGGCGTGCCAAGCGATGTGAGAGACGTGGGATCACAGGACCACAGGATAACTCAAGCTGCAAGGAACCTCAGCAGATCTCTTGCCCAACCACCTACGGGGTCAGACCAGGCTGCTGAGAACATCCCCTCCCTCCCAGTGAAGGTCTGTCGGCCCTGGGGAGCAAGGACCCACACCCAGCCCTGAATGCACAAACACAGCACCCACTTCATCTGTCTCTCACCAAAGCTAATCACCCGAGCACCTCTCTGACTCTCCCCTGCCTCTGTTCCCCACCCCTCCAGCGGGGCTACACCAGAGCATCAGTTCAGTAGCATCCAGTTGCCACCTCCTTGATGACTTCTTCATGCTTTACCAGGTAAAGTGGCCGCAGTGGAAGTGGCAGTCACTCACTCTGTGCAGGATAAGTGCCACAGCAGCCAGCGCAGGCAGCCGAGGTGCCCGTTGGGCTCAGGGAGATGCTGCTCCTCTCCCCTGAGCAGGGCTTGGCTCTGCCAGCCCTCTCCATGCACCGTGGAACTGGTTTTACCTGAGATTTTCTTCGGCGTAGCTTGTACAGGGCTATGCTCTGGACTTGTGATGGAAGCAGTGCTGATAACACAGGGATGTTTTGGCTCTTGCTGAGAAGAGCTTGCACAGCACCAAGGCCTTTTCTGCTGCTCACCCTGCCCCGCCAGCGGGAAGCCTTGGGGTGCACAAGGAGCTGGGAGGGGGCACAGCCTGGACAGCTGCCCTCGGCTGACCCAGGGGATGTCCCAGACCATTGGAGTCTTGCTCAGCAATAAAAATTGGGGGGGGTGGGGGGGCGGGGCTGGGGAGAAGCTTTCCAGGGCTGCCGTTTCTTGAGGACTGGCTGGAGGTGAGCAATTAGACTTTTTGCATCATTTGTTCTTTCTGGGTTTTGTTTTCCTTTGTTGTTGTTGGGTGGTTTGTTTTGGTTTTCCTTTTTTTATTAGTAAACTGTCTTTATCGCAATTCATGAGTTTTCACATTTTTACTCTTCTGATTCTCTCCCCCATCCCACTGTGGGGGGAGAGCAGGGGGTGTGAGCGAGCGGCTGTGTGGAGCTGAGCTGCCTCCTGGGGTTAAACCACAACAGCCTTGGACACCGTCCTCCCACAAGGATCTGCAGCAGGATCCTGTCCACTCCATGCTGAGGGTTGTGTGATTAAAGGTTCACCTTCATAAACACAAAGGAGCAGAGGAACGTGGCAGGCAGGCGAACCTCGACATCCCCCTCGGAGCCAGCAGAGCCCCCAGCCCCACTGCTCCCAGGAGGATGCTCAGCCCATGGCCAACTGGGAGACCTCCGAGTTGGTCAACAGCAACGGGTGTCCCTCCTGGCGAGCTGGCATGGGGTACTGCCTGCGAGGTGGAGGGATGATCAGTCTGGGATGCCAGGAGGAGAACTTGGGGACTGTGCAGCACTCACTATGGGATGTTTGGGGGAGGAACCAAAGGTTGGGAGTGGGAGGGATCAGGGTGGATTGGGGGCAAACAAGTGTGAGAAAACAGAGGGATACGGGGATGAAAGGGTCCAGTTACATGTAATCAGGCTGTTGGTCAACACACGTGGTGCCTGACCAATGCAGTCTGTCCTGACTTCTAATTAAACTCCATTTCTAACAACATCCCTGGGCAAGGGTCCCCTAATCCCTGTGCATGTGTGAGCACCGAGGGCTGAGCACCAGCTGCTGGAGTGGAGACCATGGACTACAGGGGCCCGGGGTGCCAGCACCTGGAGAGACTGGGGTGCACACGTCTGGGGTGGGTATGTACATCCGTGTGCAGTCACCAGCAAACATCAAGCAGGACCAGCCAGTACGTAAACTGGGACTTGGGAGCCAGGTATCAGCGAGGCTCTAAGTCTGGGCTGGATGCTGGAGAGACCAGAGGGCTTGAGTTGCTACAGGAGGGACCGGGGGGGTCTGAGCTCCACTGCTGCAGAGCCCAGGGGATCGGCTACTGGTGATGCCACAGGACTCAGCCAGCTACTGGAGAGAGCTGCTCGCCTGTATGTATGTGCATGAGGCAACAGGGGAGAACGGGGACTCAGGGCCAGCTGTGGGGTAGACTGATCATCTAAGCACAGCTACTAGAGGGATCCACATTGTATATATGCATATACAATTTCCTCTAAAGGCGTTCATCCTAATCTGCCAGAGAGGAGAACAGGATCCCACCATTGAGGCTGTTTGTGTGTGTGTGTGTGTGTGTGTGTGTGTGCTTTCAGTCCATGTTGACCTGTGTGGCTGACTGGTCTCCACTTGCAAACAGGCTGGGGCAGGGTCTGTGTTTGCACCCTGTGGCCCAGAACAGCAGCCAGGAACCGCCTGGGTGCAAAAGTAATAAACACACTGACATGTGTGACATGACGGGCCCCAGAAGTGTGTGAGAAGCATGGAGGACCTCCCTTGTGAAGAAAGTCTTGCTTTGGGTTTGCTGCAACTTCCTGATCTTCCATTGAGATATAACAACCAGATAAGTGAACTCCAAGCAAAACAGCCTAAATATAAGAGTTTTTCTTGAACACGTGCTCCCTACCTGCAATCTAACACTGTGTCCCTGCCCTGGCGCGTGACCTGACCACTGAAGGTATTCCCTCTGCTCGACGGGACACAGTGCCATTTTGTGTGGCTGGAAATTAGAAATTGCAGGGCATCACTGCCATCTGACACACAGAGATCCATGCAGGTTCCCTTCTGGCTGGCTGGGTTTGCTCAGGTGGAGAGAAGACAAGGGTCCCTGGAGGGAGGGAGAGGCCAAGAAACAAATGTGCATCAGACCATGGCAGTAGAGATAACACCGAGTCCACATGGAGCTGAGGGAGGGGTGGTAGAAGCACCCTGTCCTGAACAAGCTCCCAGCTGTAGCTCCCACGGGCTGCTTTGCAGTAGAAGCTGTGACAGACTGAAGCATCCCCAATGTCGGGGCTGATGCACCCACCCTATGTCAGGTCTGTGCCTCCCAGCCCGTGCCTGGGGTCAGGCAGAGCCGGACACGCTCCCAGACTCTCTAGGGCGGCCAGTGGGTTGGGGTAGAGTTCATGGGACAAGACAGCTCACGTGGGGACCCCTCAAGGAGACGGGGATGCTTTGGAGCCTGCATCTCCACCTCACACCCTGAGCGCACACGCACATTCCTCTGGGAGGGTGCTGAATTGGAGACAGGACACAGGGGCTGTGAAGAAGGTGCTCAGAGGGCAGGGAATGAGTCTGCAAAGCAAAATCCCCGCTTGAGGAAAACCTCCCCTTTCTGACAAAATCTCTAGGAATGACATTCTCCGCACATCATAGATGACTGTGTCTTCATCTCCTCCCCCATCTCACACATCCCTCGCTGCTGAGCCCCTGTGCTGAACAAATCCTGTGCTGCTCACCGAGATTTTAGGGGGGTGGGAAGCACTGAGAGTGGAGACAGAAGAACCAGGACAAGGCAGCAGGGAGTCTTGGTGGGGCAGAGCAGGGATGGAAGCTCTCCAGGGCAGTTCCACCTCTCCCCTCAGTGCCATGCTTGTCCCTGTCGTGGCCCAGTCGCTACTGTAAAATAAATGTACCTGCTTGCCTCATACCAGGTAGAGTAACTTTATATTGCAGGGAAATAAAGGACGAGCTCCACTTCAGAATGGTGGTCCTCTTGTACTGCACTTCTGCTCACACATCGGTTCTCGTCTGCACTTCCCCCTGGATCTTTTTTTGGAAAATAAGATGAAAAATTAGTGAAGATTAGGGATTTATTCCCTAATGAGCTGGCATACTGCTAATGATCCCTAAAGGCAGGCCTTACACTGTCTGGAGGCTTGCCATCCCGTGTGGGTTCCTTAGGCGTGAGCGGTAGGCATCGTTCCTCACCTGCGTACTGCATGACGCAGCCAATGCTCAGGACCTGCTGTGAGATTCCACCTCCCTGCCTGGATTTTTGCACAAACTCCTTTCAGGGGGGCATAAAAATTTGCTGTAACTGTTCTGAGTGGAGAGAAGAGTGGAAACCCAGAGTTTCCGAACCATCTTGCTCTCTCTGGCAGAACCAAAGGGATTTTTCTCCACTTCAGGTGGACTGAGTTTACATTTTGTGCATCAGTCTCATGGGCACCAGATAGGCTCTGGAGATCACCATGCCCCTGAGCCCCCAGCAGCACGACAGCACAAGGGAGAGCTGGTGAAAGAAGCTGAAGCAGTCTTGAAAATTTCCATCTCCTGGCAGGACAGACAACCTAATCTCTGCATGCTCCATCTGCTGTCCCTTAGGGGATTTCCAGAGGATGGATTAACACCCCAGCGCTGCTGCACTTAGAGACACGCTGAGATGTGCTGCAGCAGCCCTCGGGGTGAGACAGAGACCTGTGCTTATCCTTTTCAGTAGACTGGGATCAGAAGGTTTTGCTTAGGCTCATCGGTGCTATGTTTTTCCACCTCTGAGGGCAAGAATTCCTTGTGATGAGGGTCCTCCAGTCCTGCTGCAATACCTATAATAATATTGTGCTAGGCACTGGCTGTGGGAGAGAGCTTCTGGAAGCAAATATACTCTTGCCTTGGATGTAGGCACCTGGGGGTGCAGCTCTGAATCCAGACACACGTGAGCGCCTAGAGGTAGGTGTCCACACATGCTTGGTGTCCAAGCGCTGAGTACAGCCAGTGGAGATCCAGCCCCGGCGATCAGTGGATCCCGGAGAGCTCCTCAGCTCACCCTGGGG